GAGAGAGAGAGAGAGAGAGAGAGTTGACATCAATCAAAAATGGAAAAATTTTACATCAAAATTTTCTAAGAATAAATTTTATAGTCATCACATCTATTTTGCAATTTACATTGCATTTTCGGTATGTTTATAAATCCCATCCTAATCATATATTTCTTCCCCCAGGAATAGTCAATCTAAGCACCAAGTTGAAAATTCAAACGGCAAGATGATACGAGACAGGCACAGAAAACTTTCCTAACAGACCATGCATGCAACCTTCGATTATCTCATATTTATGACTTCGATCAAATTCACATCAGCATCCAAAAAAGGGAACCGAAGAAGAGGACAGCAGTTATAATCCCAACAACAAGAAACAGAAGCTGCACCAACGCAGGACACCAGAAAATATCTACTTTGACACAGACAAAGACGCCCCAAATATCCATGATTTTTAGATCACCAACTGATTCAGGTATACTGAACCATAAAAGCACACAATACAAAGTCGTCGAGCAACATAATAAAACAGACAAACTTCAACTTAAAAAAAGTTAAACAAAAAGGAGTCTACCTGGATCTGCAAGCATAGGACAACCAGACCAAGAAACACCACCATCTAACCGTTGTGCAAAGTACTACTAATGCCTATGCACCACTTTTTGTGAATCAGAGTGACTAATTTCAAATGATAAGTAGGTAGAGATACTCTACAACCATCAAGACGACTCGACAAAAGACGGACGGGACGGACCTCTGAGACATGTGACGCCGATGATGACTGAACTGAACCTTCTCGACCCAGACAATTTGTTCTAGGACTCACTGTAACATTAGCATATTTACATATCAATCTATGCAGAATGGATGCAAGACGTTAAGAAACAGAGAAATAAATAACTTCATCAATGGTTTGAATAAAATAACACCATATAAACGTTTCATCTCCGTGACAAAAAGCTCAACATGCATACAGTGAAGGGACAGTAACAACATTGGATGGCAAAATAGCACACGCACAAATTTACAGACCTGTTCATCCTCATCAGAGGTTCCGCCACGAGCCTCATTTGCTTCCGAAGGCCTTTCTGCACCACAGTTTTGACGGTTGCACTTGGTCCTGAATGGGTAGTTTATGTTGTTGCACTTTTCACACTTCCAGCTTCCCTCTGGCATTTTTTGTTCTGTGTAACAATGATAATAAAATGCATCAAGAACATCACTGCGAAAGAGTAACCTTACAAAACAAACCTTTCTTAAATGTTCAGTAATTTATGAGGTTAGAAATTGAATGGAAGAACTACAGGAACAATCATCTATTCTGTCTAGTTGCTTTAAGTTAGAAAAAAATCTTCTTAAAAAAACCAATATGATAGTTCTGGCAATTGATATGGATTATGCTCTACAAACAACTATCAAAGTTCTAAAAATGAAAATTTCATTCACACAAACTAGAGTGAAAAAATTTATCAGTTTTAAAACTATGTTTTCCAACCACAAGCAACCATAAGATCTCTTCTAAGAGAATTAAAAATCCTCCATATGTAGTCTAGAGCAATTAATAGGTATGCCAAACAACAAAATAATCAAAATATTTTGAGAAGTACGAGGGGAAGATGAAAGCAGACGAGACAAAATCACAAGTGATGACTTCCTCTATACCCTTGTTCTATTTCATGGTAGGGCAATTGCTTAAATCTATGACATCAAATTAAATGATAGATGGGCTAAGTTTAACTTCTATAGTTAAATTTAGGTGATTATGATAATGAAAAAAAAAAACCTTCATAGTATTAGGCAACCATAACATAATAAAAATTTAAGTGATAGATGCGTCAAGTTTAACTTCAGAGCTAAAACTAGGTGACTCCAAGAACTTTAATATTAATATCATAAAACGCTGAAGGTAGATCTATAAAATCATATATAGACTAAATAAAGTAAATTAATATAATACTGGGAAACAAAATGCCGAGTTGCGTGGATCAAATGCAACTCAATAGAAGGTCTGGGGCATTGGAATGGATAGAGTGATCATATTTAAGAAATAGTGGGAGTGGGCATCAATTAAAGAAAACTTTAGGTATTTTAAGCATTAAAAAAAAAAGCCAAATAAAAAGGAGATGCATCAATTGGTCAAGTAGATAAAGTTGGCAAAGAAAGGTTAGATGGGAAAATTGGATAGAACATCTACATGTCGCAAATGCAATAGAGTAAAAGAGAATTAATTTCTCGTAGATAGCACCTACTAGAAACTAACTGCAAAAATTGATTCATAAAAAAGATTCAAAATGGTTTAAATTGATGAAATTTACAATTTTTAACATTATTATTATTATTAAATTATAATATATTCAGTGGTATGTCGGACAGATGTAGGAGGTTGTCGGATCTGTGTTAAGTGTCCAACATGGACACAAACGTCATTTAAAGTGCTCGTGCTTTATAGAAAGCATCTAAATGGAAGTTGATGAAAATGTAAAAAAAAAAAACACTAAGAGTGCATTAAACATTGTGCAAAATTCTAAATTAAAAAAATAATTTACATGTGTGAAGAAATAGTGTACCTAAAATCGTATGATATTTCCAGCCCTGTTCTCTCAAACTACTCACCCCTAACAGCATTCCATCAAGGACGCAAAGAAATTAGTCCTCAAGTCCCTCCTCTAATAGAAAATGGAACAATGGGCAAGAGACAAATGCCATTCACTCGACAACGAACAACCCCTCCAATCCACTTAATGATCTATGGCCCCATTAGCTGCACCAACATGATTCGGTCACAACTATACCATGCTCAAGAAGAGATGTCGTGATTGAGAAAGTTATACATGGATGGAATATGAGCAGTGATTTATTACATACAAAACAACTCAAATAATCCTCCATTCCTTGCTTGGGAACTTGGAGTGGCGTTGCCATAATTGATATTTTTATCACATCAGGTAATGGTTATTTTAATTGCGCTAATAAGTTACTGAATTCTTCCTCATACCTTTTGTAGGCATAATTTTTTCTTTGGCTCACATCATGCTACCTAGTCAACCCCCTGAGATTACTCCAGTGTATTTTAATTCAATGTAGAGGTTTGGAAAATTCCACCATCAATTCCGATGCCTTCATTGGTTCCAACATCAAATGTACGGTCAATGCGCAAAAATCTCCAGTCATAAGAAGCAAACCACCTACACTAGTATATGGGGAAGGAACGAGGGGTTCTTCCCTTGGAATTCCACAAAATTGCCAGGGTACTGGATGCAAACATCCCAACTCATGGAATCCTTTAATTGCACTAATAAGTCATTGACTTCTTCCTCATACCCTTTGTAAGCATATTTTTTTCTTTGGCTCACATCAATGTCTAACTTAATGGGTTTGCCAATTCACTGTTTTTTGACAATTAATACATAAATCAATATTACCTAGAAAGGGAATCATCAATGAAGAGAAACTGACGATTCCATGATCCTTTTGATGAACTTGTGAAAAGTTGCATGTCAAATGTGGGTTGGCAGGAATTAGTATTAGTTCTAGAAGAAATGTGAAGAAAATATAGGACAATTTACAGGGTCAACTAGTTCCCACATCCTCAGCTACTCATGTGATAATACTTGAAAAAATTCATTAAATGCAACGTCAAATAGCATACCTCCAAAAAAACAGAATTTTGAAATCCATAATGCTATTGCTTTCGTGGTATAATAGATCACATTACCCTCTTTAATTGAATTAGTAATAAAATCTACAAAAAACAGTCGAGAAGCATACTGTGAACCAGATCTGAGGTGAAGCTTACTGGCATCTAGAATATAAAGCTACATCTGCCGAGTAATGCATAACATATATATCAATTCTAGATAAAAAGCTAACACTCAATTCCACAAAAAGTTCGAAAAATAAGAATAACAAAACAAAACACAGCACTACATTTAAACAAGCGATGGCTTTTTACAACTATAAAAAAGAGTAAAATAGAACTTACTAGAACCCTTTGAATTCTCAGATTTAGAAGCCTGCATAACCAAAAAAAAAAAAAAATTTAAGCAATGCAAGTGAAGATTTTCACTAACAATTAACAGCCACAACAATCAAAGAGAACGTCCTAAAATTTTAGAATTTCATTCAGATAATTAACACTATATGCAGAGACATACTTAGAAAAAAATATTCCTTAAAAATCATATATATTTTGAAATCATCTCCTTAACAAGCATCATTACGGAGGTGTAACTAGAGAAGCAGCATGTTTTAAGCTGCAACACAGTAAAGCGAAAATCTTGACTTGTTTGATTTGATAAGTGCATTTTGATGCTTCAAATGTTAAAAATGGAAAAAAAAAATGATACCAAATCAGAAGATGATAAAAAAAATAACATAAAAAATTATATAAATTGGCATGCTCCCTTGTAACCTAGTTGATCAAATGTTAGTGCAAATTTACATTCGGGTAATCTTAAATTTAATAATGATAAGTATAAGAAACGGAGGAAGAGATGAAGGAATATGATGCAATGATATAGATTCAAGCATATATACTGACAAGGCTGAATTCGGTAAATCTTAAATTCAAAGATGATATAAAAACCGGAGAAAGGGGTGGAGGAATTTGATACAATGATATAGAATCAAGCATGTATACTGACAAAGACTGAATAGCTAATGGCCAAATTAGAATATAATCAGGTAGGGTTATATACACTGCAAAATTAATTTTTTTATTAATTCAATAGTAGGCTTTTTTTAATTTAAAAATAAAATAAAACTTTAAATTTGCTTGGTGGTTCAACATAAAATAATGCTATATTTCATATTCATAATCTTCAAAATTATTCCTCAATAACATCGAATATATAAATAATTATTTTCTAGTGTTCCTCTTTAGTAGAGCAGGGATGGTAGCTACTAGCACCATAAGCATTACACAGTTATATTGCCTTCAGAAAAACTGGTGCTGCTGAAAACTCTGGTTTAACCATTTTTCCTCCCAGTCCTTCGACAATAACATTGACAACCGGACTTATCAGTGCATTTTTACCCTCCGATGCAAATGCCCATGCCACCTAAGACTATTTTCTAAAATGTTTTCTTCCATAGATGCTGATCCTATTGTGCCCCTATTATAGCTCTTTCTAAATCATTACTTCCAAATTTAATCATATGTTCATCAAAATATTCTAATTTAATCACACTATATCTAGCTATTAAGTGATTTCTCTATTGCTCATCATTCATATTCATACAACATAGCTACCAAATTCCAAATTTACATAACCAAGTCTCAAAATATTCGCTAGCCTATAAAAAAACAAGTAAAGGAATGTTCACATTATACACGTCCATGCCACCTATGTTTATTTTCTACTAATTTTTAATATTCCACTATGCACAAATTCTAACATAGCCTACTTAAGTTTATTTTCAATTAAACTTTGTTCATCTTCTTCCTTATAATATATGCCCCAGCACATGTCCATCTTAATACTTTCTTTTATGTCCCACTCAATTTGACTATCAGTGATTTTTCTATTGCCCCAGCACTCAAATCCACACAAAGGTCTCACTAAATTTACCTGAAACAAATATATAAATAAATCCAAATAGGTCTTGCCAGTGTTGTCTATATGCATGCTCACATGTTAATATCCACCAGTTTCTAGTTACCAAAACAAGGAGCCAGAATGTCTATTCTGCTAAAATACAACAAGAAGAAAATTTTACAGATTCAAAAACAAAAAAATGCAGTCACAAACCTGGTTTCCAGGCCTTGGAGTATTGCATTTCCTCATGTTACAAATATTTCGGAAGGCAAAATTTCTATTACCACAATTTGGGCAAATCCAATCATTGTCACGTCCTGCATCTAAGAATATATGATAATGAATTAATAAAGTTTAAAGACTAGCAGTTTGGCAAATATAAATTATCTCAAAACACAAACCTGCGGGCTTCATTTGAAAGTCATCATCAGCATATGCTACAGGTCTTGCAGGACCCTAAAAATATAAATCAAAACGTCAAATTTGTCGGGAAAGTGTCGTGCTACAAAATAAAGCATACCACAAAGACAAAGAAAATATGTGTTGAATAGTGGATTATCCTTTGAAAAGTTATAAGTTGGTAAAAAATTTAAATACAATTGCAATCTCAAAACATGAATCAAGGTCTTAAATATGCAAAAAAATACAGAAAATAATGAAAATAATAATAACTTACCATTGCTCCATGACCCATATGCATTCCTATGCCATATCTGTCCATCAGTGGAGGCATACCATACATGCCACCTGAAGCATATAAATATGTATGCTATTCTATCAGCACAGCATATAAATGATTTAAGGATACAAAGGAAATACCCACTTAATAAAGCAGTAAACAAAAAAGATTTCTAAAAAATGAAGCTCGGACAATTACCTGCTCCTAACATAGATGCACCTGAGTAGGGGGGTGGGCCAGAAATGTGTAGCGGCCCATATGGGCTGCCAACAGAGAGGCGGGCACCATATGCATAAGAATAGCCCGAACCTCCAGCAGGAAAATCATATGGAGGCAACGGTGAACCATTATAATAAGAGGACCCATATGGAGCGCCACCATAAACTGAAGAGGGAACGGCAGATCCACCATATCCAGCTCCAGATGTATATGGAGGACCTTGAAGAGATTTTGGAGCAGACTTCTGTGAAGTAATAGCCAAATAATATTAGCAAAGAGTGCGCTGAAATTAATAGATGCAAAAAATTAAAAAACAAGATACAGACTATGAAGAAAAATGGAATAATGTTGTAAAAAAGGCAATAAATAGAAGAAATTGACAACTATACTGTTGCAAAAAAGCCAAATCAATACTTATATTAACAATAAAAAATTAATAATAATAATACTACTACTGGGAAAGGTTAGAAGGCTGAAGGACCTTGTATCTACATACTCCATTAAATAGTGGTGGCATTTTCCTGTTCAAAAATATTTTGTTCTCTCTTGTGTTACAATTGTTGTGAAGAAAAAATCATTCTATGCTGCTCGCATTCATATTGCGAGACACCGATATTTATAGCTGATTTTGTGTGCTCATTTTAGCAGAAAAACAAGATACATTGGGGGTATGTTAGAAGGAATCTGTTTTTTCAGCCATGACATATGGTTTATGGACAAATACGGAGACATACACGGTATAATTTCAAATGTATGACAAATCTGTTTTTTCAGCCATGACATATGGTTTATGGAGCACAAATACGAAGACATACACGGTATAATTTCAAAATGTATGACATTACATGTCATGCACACATTGTTATGAGTTAATAATTATTAATATAAAAATAACCTCGATATGTTTATCACCCATAACTATTATCAGACGTATTTTATAATGGCATAAATAATAGGACATGCAACGCTGCAACATTCTTCAAAGAGTCATTGAAGTAAACAGAAAACTAAACTGAAAATATTTCATACAACTAAGCCAGTGAAAATGAAAATGCTTGAAGTCGAAGAGTATCCCTTATCTGAAATTTGATTGTGAATGGTCAAACCCATTAAGTTAGACATGCTATTAATAAAAAGTTTATTGGGCTGTAAAGATAAAAAATCCAACAAACTATTATAACTGCATCAATAAAAAGAAAAGATACCACTATTGATAAGAAACATAAAATACCACATGATTGTTCATAACATAACCCGCTTCTAACATGGGATACCAAATATTGTGATAAAAGTTTAAATTAGCCAATGCTGAAGTCAAATGTCCGCACTGAGCGCCTTAATCAAGCATCAAAGTCAAAGTCCTTGCTTTCCCGTCTTGAATATCTTAGTAGAACCCATTGCCTTTGTCACTTGATGAAGTTGAAGCCATTTCTCCAAGTCCTCCATGCTTAGCTCTATCTCAAAAAGCTCCCATGTTAAATTCTTAGTTGTAGTCAAAGCTTCAAAACTTCTGCACTGATGATCATATCACCTCTCTCACTCTCGCTAGAATAGCACGAAATGTGGTCAACTAAGGACGTCATAAAATCTTCACTTAAAATTACTAGTCTTCTACAAGCTCATGATGTTCGTGTCAGTATCGAGCATTACTCGTAAATGACCTCAACATGATTTAGAACGTGTAAGACACCTCTCAAGTCATGTCAACATGGTGTTCGTGTCCAACAAGTTCACTTAAAATTACTAGTCTTCTACAAGCTCATGACGTTCGTGTCAGTATCGAACATTACTCGTAAATGACCTCAACATGATTTAGAGCGTGTAAAACACCTGTCAAGTCATGTAAACATGGTGTTCGTGTCCAACAAGTGTCTTAAGACATACAAGGAATGTATTTTGAAGCATTTGTACTTCATAATATATAGTTTGGTGAATCCACTTATTATTAATTTTTGCCCTTCGATTTTTCACTCCAGTAATTATTAGCAGTTTCTTTTATTCTAGTGGCAAAATTAATATATCTTTCCATAATCTTCTACCCAAACACTTAATGGATACAATAAATGATATTCATTTTCAATCTAATCAACTTACAATAATCATCTATCCAAACACTTAATGGACACTATTAATGATATTCCTTAGTAATCAAATAGACTCAGCATGCCTATTCGGAGACTTTCTGATGTAACTCTATTTTAAAACTACTAGGGAGATCTGTAGACAGAGATGTTGGTAATTATCTTTCTAATATGTTGCAAAAATATATAGCTCAATAAATACATAGTTTTTGCTTAGATATTATTTATTGAATTGATTTGTATAGAATATAGATGAAAAATGAAGAACTGTAAAGGAAAGCACATTATTGTGTCAAAGTGCTTGTGTTGCCAAGCTGAAGAAGCCATGCATAAACAAATTATGGTTTACTTTTCCAACCTTTTAAAACTCCAACTTCAAGGCTTTCATATACTTAATATTCAAAATCATTCATAGAACTCATTTACAAAAGCATATTAGAGTTGTATTCTTATCTTTATCATATAGCTCACCAATTAAGAAAAAATAATGTCAAACATAGGAAAATTTTGTCTGATTAGCATCATATTATCCACATGGTTGATAAACTTCCTTTACAACTAAGAGATGCCTCCTTCAGTATCTTAACCAGAATTAGTTTCATGATTTAGATTTTAGACATGAATTTAGGTTATTTAAATTAAGTGTTGATGGTCGCTCTAAGAGTAAACCAATCAAGCTGCTTGCGGTAAGATCTTGTATAATAACTTGAGGCAACCTATCAATTCTTCTAAAGATTATTTAGAGACTTTATTTGGGCACCCAAAAAGTTGATTGTTAAAACAAGTGTTTTAAATACCTCCAGTGTTTTAAAAAGTGTCTGACATGGTTAATAAACTTCTTTTACAACTAAGAGCTGCTACTTCAGTACAGTTACAATCTTCACCAAAATTAGTTTCATGATTTAGATTTTAGACATGAACTCAGGTTATTTAATTTTAGTGTTGATGGTTTCTCTAAGGGTAACCCAATAAAGCTGCATGTGGTAGGATCTTGTATGATAAGTTGAGGCAACCTATCAATTTTTTAATGATTTTTTAGAGATAATGTTGATTGTTAAAACCAGTGTTTTGAATTCCTATAGTGTTTTAAAAAGTGTCTAACATATTCAATATGATATGATTACCCAATGTTTGAGAAGCATGATGCTCACATGAGTGAGAATATTGCACTTCAAAGGTTGTCCAATTATGTTAAATATAATTGAAAGAATAAAAAGGGGATACATTAAATTATGCTAAAAAATAAATTTACATCTATCATTCCAATCCAATTCAAAAAATAAAAATGTTAAAAAAATTATTTTCAACAACTATCATCAAATTCCTTATGTCTAGCAATAATGCCGTCACCAGTATACATTTCATCTTATCATCATCCATGCTCTCTTCATTGCACTAAATTTGTAGCCCTCAAGCTCATATATTGTTTTCTTAGACACATCCTTTGCATCAATCATCATTAAGATTTACCAGCACCAATATTAGGTTAACTTTTTTTCCTGAGGTATTGCTTCTCTTGAACTTGAAGACCTTTTATATCAACTCACAACGTGTTATCGTGTCAAAAAAAACAAACTTATATTCAGCCTTTATAATTGGTATTGCTTCTCTTGAACTTGAAGACCTTTTATATTAACTCTCAACGTGTTATCGTGTCAAAAAAAACAAACAAACTTATATTCAGCCTTTATAATGTAAACCCATCCCCCCAATAAAGGCAAGACACTCAAAGGATTGTAAAGCATTGAGGCAAAGTGTTCGCCTAAACAAGCCTTAGTAATAGTGCAGTATAGTAGGTGTCTGAAGTGCTATGGCATTATCCCGCATCGCCTTGCCTGAGCCTCCAGGCAAACGCCTTACTCACCTTTAAGAATATTGCATCAATAAACTGATCTAAAACCTTGGCCAACTTTTGTGTCATGCAAGTCATATCACATTAACAGTATAAATAAACCAATTTGTTAGATGGCTGCTACTCTTATATCCAAAAGTCTACCTGTAAAACCAATTTGTCAATACAAAGTCAACAAAATATCTTAAACTTCTCTTATCTACATGAAAATACAATGAATATCCACAAGGCCTAATAATTGTATGCACCTCATAAAATACTTACTGTGTTATGATCCACAGGCCTTGATTGTGAGCAATTCCTCATGTTGCATGTTGTCCTGAATGAAAAATTGACATTGCCACAACTAGGGCAAGTCCAATCATCTTCTCGACGGCCACCTATTATGAAAAAAGATATTTGCCATTATATGATTCTTAGATTATACCATTAAACTAGTACATGCTTCACCAATCACTTAAGATTGTCGCTTATTGTAATCAAAATTGTAAATTTCTATAAAAAAAGAACTTGAGTATAACAAAAGAAACAAAAAACTCTAAGTTGTTGCTATGTATTGATGTGTTGTTTGGTATGAGATATAGTTAACTACCTTAAGAAGATGAACCACCTACTCCGCCAGTTTGTTTTCATAACTGAACCATCGAGAAGGTGCATGTACAATATCGTGTTGTCACAAGATCTCAATGATGAAATTGTTATATACTTGAGCTTTTGAAAAGCAGGGGAGTGAAAAAAATTTAACATTCAAGATCTAAGAAAAAGCATCGGTTTGCATGTAATTTTCAAAAGGATGGTCATCTAAAAGCCCATATAAATTTCAAATTATAAATTTGAAATATTAATATATATTAGTTATAATATAGTTTGCATGTTGTTCTTCATCATATAAAATTCATGAAAACTCTGTAACAAAAAAAATGAAGTTATTTTCAAGGTGAACCATTATCCCTACAGTAAAAAGAATGGATTTGAAAGCAGTATCATTCAAGCCACACAAAAAAAAAAGTTCATTTCAATAAACTGAAGGACTATAAGTATAAACTAATAGAAAGCAACTTCAATTTAAAATTATGCTTTTAGTTATAACATTCAGTACATAAATATCTTTCACAAGTCATCAAACAATTTAATTACCAAAATAGCCCCATGAAAAAGAGAAAAAGTCAGCAGTTCACTTAAAATTATGTTCTTCGATCACAAAAAATTTCAAAAATGAGTTTTCTACATAAATTCAGAAAAACAAAAGGTTTTCTAATGAAAATTTTGAAAACGCCAACAAAATTTTTAGTAAGTTGAATAGAATTTGATAGAAAAACATCATACAAAATGATAAGGTTATCCAATGCTGATTTAAACATTAAAATTTGAGCTAATGAGATAAAAATTAGCACTGCAATATCTTAGAAAGCATAATCACCGCTATGTAATAGTTTGAATTTTAAAGACTTGACAAAAATGATTTACCATCAGTTCGAGCACGCTTTCCAGCAAAAGAGTTCCGATTATCAATCTGCATAAGACATGCAAAAAGGGTAGCATGTGAGATGGAAAATGCTTTTTATCTTTTGTACTTGCCGCTAGTATATTTGAAAGGTAGTTTCTGATATTAACAATAAAATTAAAAAAATAAATGTTCCTGTGATCATGATTATCAAAATCTTCATTAGCCTCATTCCAAATCTTTAAAGTCAATTTTATGAGTCCTCATTCACCGAATATTTCGAGTGAGTGTTGCGTGAGATGATAAATTATCAACACTCTTGCACAAATCCTTTAGCACTATTCAGATGATGGTACCATATTAGTAATAGTTGAAAATTTTCTTAGAAAATAGCTAAATGAATTAAAATGGGTTAATGATAAGGGTTTTGTTGTTATAATTAGAATCAATCATAATTTTAGCATCGCTCAGCAGCCCACATAGCATATTAAAAATGCTCCGTCAAACAAAAATGAATTTTTACAGCTCTATCAAACTTGAAAATATTCGACAGAAGCATACAAGACTTGAGGCAAAACCAAATGTAATTTTAAGAACAAATAAAGTGCAAGTATTGATAATAGTTTTAAAAAATTTTACCAATCTTCAAACTTGATGACATTCCCTATAACATTCACAAAGTTATGTCAAAACTACTATTTTTAGTGCAATCCCTAAAACAAAATTGTTAGAATGGAAGCTCCGAAGTTCAGACAATTCCCTAAAATGTTAGTAGTTATACTACAAGAATTAAAAAGCAACTAACAAAATGCCCATAAATACTATACAGTCATCATAAAGAAGATTCAAAAAATTCCTCCATACTATCATAGCTTCAGTTGGATCAAATCATTAAAAGCGGTTTTGGCGATCTAATACTGCTTATAGAATCATCCTCATGCGACTTGACCAGCAAACACCCGCACAAAAGATAAAAATAATATAAAAAAAAAACAATCAGCTATACGAGGAGTTCAAAAATCCAAGGAAAACCAGAAAAACAATATCCATTCCTACGAGATCTTCATCGTCTTAAAATGAGCCATGCCTGGTCACCGCGTATAGTTATTGGCTCGATCGGAAGGAAGAAGAAACCGGCATGATAAAGGAAGAAACAACCAGGGGCCTATACAAGAGAAATATATAGCTCGCATATAGAGAGAAACGAAGTACCTGAGACATGGCTATCCAGTCAAGTTCCGGTATTTCTCTGCCCTAGAGTACGAGCAATGGGGCGCCGGAGAAACAGCAGAAACTAGGGTTTTTGAATGCACATGGGCTTCGAATAATTCAGAAAAATACCGTACAAGCTATTGAACGGCTAAGATCTTACCAACAAAATATGATCGGATCAAGGCTAAAAAATAGGGGCGTTTAGATGCATACCATCCAATATTATATTTTTACAAATC